CTTTGTGTAAGGGGTGCTGTGTGAGAGAGGTACTGTGTGTGAGGGGTGCCGTGTGTGAGAGGTACTGTGTGTGTGAGAGGGGTGCTGTGTGTGAGTGATGTGTAAGAGGGGTGCTGTGTGTGTGGAAGGTGCTGTGTGTGGAAGGTGCTGTGTGTGAGAGGTACTGTAAGCTAGGGGTGCTGTAGGTCAGGGGTGCTGTAAGTAAGGGGTAATGTGTGTGAGAGAGGTGCTGTGTGTAAGGGGTGCTGTGTGTGTGAGAGAGAGGTGCTGTGTGTGTTAGAGAGGTGCAGTTTGCGAGAAGTGCTGTGTGTGAGGGGTGCTGTGTGAGAGAGGTGCTGTCTGTGTAAGGGGTGCTGTGTGTGAGAGAGGTGTTGTGTATGTGAGGGGTGCTGTGTGTGAGAGAGAGGTGATGTGTGTGTTAGGGGTGCTGTGTGTGTGAGAGAGGTGCTGTTTGTGAAGAGTGCTGTGTGTGAGGGGTGCTGTGTGAGAGAGGTGATGTGTGAGAGAGGTGCTTTGTGTGAGGTGCTGTATGTGAGGTACTGTAAGTGAGGGGTGCTGTAGGTCATGGGTGCTGTGTGTGTGTGAGAGGTGCTGTGTGTGTGAGGTGCTGTGTGTGAGGGGTGCTGTGTGTGTGAGAGAGATGTTGTCTGCGTAAGGGGTGCTGTGTGTGAGAGAGGTGTTGTGTATGTGAAGGGTGCTGTGTGTGTGAGAAAGGTGCTGTTTGTGAGGAGTGCTGTGTGAGAGGGGTGCTTGTGAGAGAGGTGCTTTGTGTGAGGGGTGCTGTGTGAGAGGGGTGCTGTGTGTGTGAGAGGGGTGCTGTGTGTTAAGGGTGCTGTGTGTTAAGGGTGCTGTGTGTGAGAAAGGTGCGGTGTGTGAGGGGTGCCGTGTGTGAGAGGTACTGGGTGTGTGAGAGGGGTGCTGTGTGTGTGAGATAGGGGTGCTGTGTGTGAGAGAGGTGCTGTGTGTTAAGGGTGCTGTGTGTGAGGGGTGCTGTGAGAGAGGTGCTGTGGGTGCATGGTGTTTGTGTGTCGCAGAGTATGCAGGGTGCATGGAGCAAATGTTTTCTTTCTTTTTTTTTTAAATACTAAATGTACATTAATATAATCTGCATACCTTAAGTGAAGGGGGGGGAGGGGTCCATTGGTGATCTATATAGCCTGCAGCTCCTCTGGCTGCAGGCTGTCTTCACTTTTCCCGAGCTGAGCGCTGTGTGGAACATTGCCGTGGAACGCGTGGAAACACTCCACACAGGATGCTCCCGTTGGGAGCGATCTGCCTCCCAGGTGCCTCCTCCTGAATCTGGGTCCTCCCGCCCTCTCTCTACCCTCTCTCGAAGGGCCTTTGGGCTGGTGAGGGAGATCTTTGCTCTCCCCACCGGCCCGAGAGGCAGGCTGGGGAGATCAAAGGGCAAACTGGGCAGCGCTGGGGGGGGGGCCTCCATGCCTGTGGGGCCCCCAGGCAGCTGCCCAGCATGCCCATGGGGAAAGACGACCCTGGAAACATCCCCTTTCCAGGGCCAGATTAAGAGACCAATGGGCCTGGTGCTAACAATTATAATGGGCCTAATTACAGAATCTTATCGACAACACTAAAACCGTTATACCTCCCAAGCGTCATGTATCTAGTCTAGGTGGTGCTGGAGGTAAACTCACAGGATATAGCTATAAAAAAACACAAACCCTATGCTAATCTCGAAGAATTAGAAGGTCAGCCTTGCGTGAATGCTTGTCAGACTGTCTGCTAATCATGCAGGCTAGCCAACTAAGAGCATACTATACAGACAGCATCCTGAGTTTGGCATAGATGTGATCACTCCAAGCTTTCTAAGGACTGTCCCTTAGCACTCACTTTTCCACTACTCTCCTTAACATCTTACTAGCAGACAGAATGTCCTTTTATACAGTCTGGGACAGAGAAAAGGTATAACTAGTGAGTGTAGTAAAAAGGGAACATGTCACAGTGTTAGAGACTGAAGCAGCAAGAGCATTTGCACAGTGCACAAAGTTAGCTTTACCTTGACTAATTTCATTGCCAGCCAGTCCACACCGTTTTGTTCCACTAGATCCATTTTAAGTTTCTATATTTAAACAAGAGCATGTGAAATGTAGTAAAAAAAATAAAAAAAAAAAAATCATGGGCCTGGAGCTGCAGCTCCATCAGCCCCTAAATGAATCTGGCCCTGCCCCTTTCTAAGTGGAATCCCTTTCATCAGTGACATGATTCCCTTTACTAGCCCTCCTCCTTTTTCCACACCCGCCTGCTTCACAGGAAGCCAATGTTGGGGGTTATGGGTATGGTTGACAGATTAGCATAGGGTGTATGTATGTATGTGAGTTTACCATAAGACACTTGGGAGGTATGACTGTTTTAATATTTTCTGTCGATAAGATTCTATAATTAGGCCCATCACAATTCTCAGTACTAGGCCCAAAAGGCTCTTTATCTGGCCCTGCTCTTGCCTTCATTTCAGAGATTTACAATTAGCTGCCCAGATGTCTTCAGGACTAGCACTGGGTCTAGACACTTTCTCCTTCTCTTGTCATGCACAGTGTTGGCCTCCGAGATACTTTCATGACATTCTATCTGACACAGTGTGTGAAGAATGAACAATGTGTATTGCTAGGAGCAGACTGGACTTCTGCAGTTCTTAACACTTTCTCAAGTTCCCATCACTGGTGGCAATGTACAGAAACATTTAGTGGCATCAGCAGCTAACTGACCCCAGGCTTCATATGTTCATGAGTTATGCATTAGAACAGCATAACTGAACAGGAAGTAAAGACAACACTTAAAATGATGCCGAATCTGTTGCCAGCAAGCAGGTATGCAGCAGTACCCACTATGTAGCGAACATGCTAAAAGAAAAATGTCTGTGTGCCCACTGTGGCACTAAAGGAGTACCTATAGTGGTCGCAGGAGTCACAGCTGCGACCAGGTCTGTCACTGCACGGGGGCCCGGCCGGTCTGTAGACCAGGGCATTTGAGATAACAACAGGGCAAGTGCACAGCTGCACCAGCACAGGATGCTCAGTTGCCGGCTGACAGTGGGACGAGAGCACACAGTAGAGTGCTCCCCTCCTGCCGGTTACTGTATGTAGCAATGCTGAGTGGAACGTGCTCTGACAGAAAGTGCTCACTGAGAGAGCTTTTTCGGTCACATCGTGACTGCAGTCCACTCGGCCGTGCTATATATGGAGGTGAGGGGATGGGTGAGAGACAGATGGAGGGGTGGAGGAGACAGATGGAGGGTGGAAAGGAAAGGGTCACATGGAGAGGCTGGGGGAGGAAACAAGACACGTGGAGGGGTTGGGGGAGGAAAGGAGACACATGGAGGGACTGGGGGAAAGGAGACACACGGTGGGTCTGGTAATGGGGAAGGAGACACAGGGAGGGACTGGGAGGGGAAAGGTGACACGTGGAAGAGCTGGAGATACATGGAGGAGTTGGGGGGGCGCAGGAGGCACACAGAGTAGCTGGGGGTGAAAAGGAGACACGTGGAGGAGCTGGGGGTGAAAAGGAGATACATTGAGGGACTGTGGGAAAGCAGACACATGGGGGGGAGGAATAAGACACATGAAGGGGCTGGGGAGTATGAGTCACATGGTAGTTTCTAGTTATGCCCCTATGTGGAGCACATGTAATAGATTCGCCATTGCTGTTATAGGACATATGTCTCAATTTAATACGTTTGGATATGTTTTTCAAATTATCATAATCTGTTAGAATTTTTTATTTTATTTTATTATTTATTTACAAAAAATCCCTTACACTTTATTGTGATTTCTGTAGATAAATCATTTGAAGATTGAACATATTGTGATAATTTGATGAGCTTATCCAAAATATTCAATCGAGGCCTCAGTCGTTTGGTATTATAGCCTGCACGTAAAGACTGCCATGCAACAATAACCCTCCTTCATCTCTCTGGCTGCAGAGGAGCTAAATGAGATTTGTCTCTCTGCCAAGTAAAGGGGAGTTCAGTGAAAAAGGTCTATCCAACTATTATGGTGGATATAGTTAAAAGAAAGCAGTGTGAGTTATTAGGTAATTAAGTGGTAAATTCTATATTTCTGCTGATCAATTATGTGACTGCTAAGAAGTAACCAGGGCCAGACTGGGGATACAAAGCAGCCCTGGAAAAAAAAAACTATGCCAGCCCCATAAGTCATTGCGCCATATATTGTCACATCTAATATAAAATATAGGTCCTTTCAGAGTAAAAGGTTTAATTATACAGTAAGCATACTTACATGCAGACACAGACTATCTCACTGACACAAACAAGTTCATTGATACACAGCCTCATGGACAAACAATCTCACTGATATACATAAGCTCATTGACATAAACACACAAGCTCACAGATGCACACACATAGGCTCACTGACAGACAATCTCACTGACACCTGCATGCTCCCTAAAGTAATGTTCACTGACACAAACATGCTCAAAAGAAAAGCTCATAGCTGATTTAACATATACAAAAACTGCCTTATAACTGGGATTGAGCAGATAATTTAGGGATTTTCCACCCCTGCACTGTGGTTACTATAGCACATTTATATATACAGGTAGTTCCCGACTTTACAAACTAATTGGTTCTGAAGCCTAGTTCATAAAGTGAGAGTTCATAAAGTGAGAACTAATTTCCCATAGACAAACACGGGTTCCGTTCCTGTCTGACACATTTTACCATTAAAAACTTAAATTATTAAGTACAAATACAAAATGAAAGCATAGCAAATACATGTATGTTGCAGGAATTTTAAAGGCGTGCATACCATATTGAAATCTTCTTTAAATTATCATGAATCCTCATACTATTCAATGAAGAGACATGTTGCACTCGTTGAATGGGGAACCTCTCTTAAACCCTCATACTTATTCATTTTCTTCATTATCAGCTTCCCCCTCTCCTTTATCAATTTTCTGTTACTCCTTTTATTTTTACAGATCTCAAACGTTCTTCCTTCTCCCCTTTTTCAGCCCTCCTCCTGCTCCTTACTTTTGCCACCTGCCAAAACATGGCACAATGGCAAACACATATACACACAGACAGCTATGTCAGACACACACAGACAAATCAAGTCAAATCTCTACTCAATAGCACACAGTGCAATAATATTACAGGATCTGTAATGTATGCCCATGAAAGCACAAAGAGAATACAGTACAATCTAAACCTGTTTTTTAGACTTCCCTTTATCCTTAGGAACTGTGTTCCTGATCCTCATCTCTCTTCTTGTCTACTCCAGACCACAAATTATTCTTCTTCTCTTCTTGTTTGTGCTCCAAAGAACTCTCCTCTGTCCTGATCCGTGGACCACTGACACAAAATGGCGGCGAAACAAAATGGTGGCACATCCAGAAAAAAGTTCATAAAGTCGGGAGTTCATAAAGTGAGAAATACCTGTATATTGTTCTTAAAGAACAGAAAGGGCTTTCTTTTAATAGCATGTATGTATACCTAACACAGCATTATGTGTAAATAAAATGTAAAAAATGTTATAACAGATTCAAGTATCAGTTTTTTTGGTTTTGTTTAAAAGTAATATGCTAGCATTAAAAATACTAACCTGTATTTCTTACCCAACCAGTACCTGCCCCTTGCTTTACATAGGTGACCCCACCCCTGTTTGCCATGCAAAATAGGGCTGACAGCCACCGGCGGTGTATTAAACTCTTTTACATTGCAAGGTGAAGATGGCAGGGACACTGCACCCAGACCACTTCATTCAGATGAAGTGGTCTGCGTGAGTATAGTATCCCTTTAAATGCCTCACATGTCTAGGATCTAAATTACACAATCACCAACCTTAGCAGAAAGACACTTTACATAAGTTCCTGAATTGTTCTTATGTTTTCGGCACCTTGTGCCCATTATGCAGAGTGTGTAAAATATAATTGGTTGTGGTTAAATGTTTTGTTTTGTTTGCTCGCCTGTCCTGTTGATGCTTGCGGCCAACAAGGTGTTTGGCTGTGGAACTTTTACAGCGCCCTCTGTTGGTAACAGTTGTTTGACTACCTGAATAGCAAAGCTTGTTAATTTGCATATTCAGGTAGATTTACATATTGCTTATTCTGCAGGCAGGAGAGCTATTTTGAGTTAACCCCTTCCCGAAGAAGACGGAGATTTTCCGTCAAGCTTGTCCGTGCGTTAAGGACCGTTGACGGAAAATCTCCGTCATTTACTAATGTTAACGCCAGATCGCGGCAATCGTGGGGTTAACGCTGTTGCTGGGTACCTCGATGTCAGAGGCAGACCAGCAACCGCCAATAGAGCTGTCCCAGCACATGTGATCGCTGTGAGAGCCAGTCACAGCGATCACAGTGCTGCTGGGATTCCTGATCCTCCTCCCTCCACCTCTGTGTGGTTTGAGAAGTGAAGAGAGACTCGGTGCTGCAACATTGTGTGCCATTTTAGCTTAAAGTGTATCTCTGTTATAAAAGTAATTTTAATACGTTTAAAACAGTGTTAACCCTTTCCTTGCCCTTTTGATCACTGCCTGCAGTGATCAGTATACTGATCACAGTATTTAACTGTGATCTAATTTTTTTTTGTACCCTCAAGGGTTAATTTTGATTATTTTTTTAACCCTTAGGGGATAATTTTATTTGTTATTTAATTAATTTAACGTTAATTCCTTAGTTAGCTGGAGTGGGTGGACTTTAGTGGGAATTTGGGAAATTGAGTGTTAGTGGGCTAGTTAGAGATGAAAAGTTTAGAAAAGTTCTGAAAAGTTTTTAAAAGTTTTAAAAAAACTATTAAAAAAAGAAAATAAGGATAAAAAAAAGTTTGTTAAAGTTACACCTTCATAATGTCTAGAAGGTACACTCAGGGGCGTTTTAGCTGTGAGGCAAACAAGGCATTTGCCTTGGGCGGCATTTTCCAGGGGGCGGCAAAAAAAGCCGCCCCTCAAATGCCCAGGGCAAATGCCTTGTTAGCCTTGCGGCTAACAGACATGCCGAGCGGGCGGGCGGCTGGCGAGGGAGCACTTCCTCTGAGCAGTCTGCTCAGCTCCGTCGCGCCGCAGAGTGAGGCTGGGAGCCGGGTTGATGACGTCATATTCCGGCTCCCAGCCTCACTCTGAGGCGCGCGAGGGATCTGAGCAGACCGCTCAGAGGAAGTGCTCCCTCGCCAGCTGCCGCCCAGCGCCCAGCAGCCACTGGACCCCAAGGGAGAAAGGGAACCCCCCCCCCCAGCATTCCCAAAGGTAAGGAGGCTGAAGGTTAAAAAAAATAAATGTGTTAGTGTGAGTGTGTGTGTGTGAGTGTGTATGTTAGTGTGTGTTAGTGTGTCTGTTAGTGTGTGTGTGTATGTTAGTGTGTGTGTAAGTGAGTGTGTCTGTTAGTGTGTGTGTGAGTGTGTCTGTTAGTGTGTGTGTGAGTGTGTCTGTTAGTGAGTGTGTCTGTTAGTGTGTGTGTGGTGTGTCTGTTGGTGTGTCTGTTAGTGTGTGTGTGTGTGTGGTGTGTGTCTGTTGAGTGTGGTGTCTGTTGGTGTGTGTCTGTTAATTGAGTGGCATTGTCTGTTAGTGTGTGTGTGGGTGTGTCTACATCAGTGAGTCTGCGTCTCTGTCAGTGGTCGTCTGTCAGTGGAGTGTGTGTTGGTGTGTGTGTGTCTGTTAGTGGGTAAGGTGAGTGTGTGTGTCTGTTGAGTGTGTCTCAACTCTGTTAGTGGGTGAGTGTGTGTGTGTGTGTCTGACTGTTAGTGTGAGTGTGTTTGCCTGTGAGTGTGTGTGTCAGTGAGTGTTTGTGTCAGTGAGTGTGTGTGTCTGCTAGTGAGTGTGTGTGTCTGCTAGTGAGTGAGTGTGTCTGCTAGTGAGTGAGTGTGTTTGTGTGTGTGTCTGACTGTGTGTGTATGTTTGCCAGTGAGTGTGTGTGTGTCTGCTAGTGTGTATCTGCTAGTGAGTGAGTGTCTGTGTGTGTGTGTCAGTGAGTTTGTGTTTCTGTTAGCTAGTGTATGCGTATCTGTCAGTGAGTGTGTGTGTGTGTGTATTTAGAAGGCGGAGCGGGGGGAAGGGATGGGTGGGGGTCGCGCGCGCGTTGGGGGGGGCGCCTGAGTTTTGTCCTGCCTAGGGCAGCACAAAACCAGGATACACCACTGCTGGTATCTTCAAGCACATTATAATTAAAGAATGTAAAAAAAAATGTATCAAACTAATGTATGATAGTACAGAAATATTGAAACAAATGACCAGATTACAAAGACAGCAAGGTTTCAAAGCGAGTTCAGTTTATACAAAGGGGACCTTAAAAATACAAGTTTGGCAACAACCATATTTACCACTTCTAAGGAGCCACTGCAGGCGTCACCACAAACATGGCTGTGACAAGGGGTCTTTTTAAAGCCCATTAGGATGTATGGAAGAATGTGACATATTGATACCTGGTTAAATTAAGTGATTAAATGAAAGCTGGTGATGATGGCACCTCTCAGCCAGGGCCGGCGCAACCGTTAGGCAAACTAGGCATTCGATCCTCAAGGCGCCCGAAGGTGGCCACCTCAGACCCCACTGGCCACTTTTAGGGCGCCACCAGAGCTGTGCTAAATAAGGCAGAGCAGGCACCTGCTTATCTTGATGGCAGGTGCCTGCTCTGCCAACAAATGCCGGTGACCGGAGGACAGGGACGTTTTAGCCGCAAGGCAAACAAGGCATTTGCCTTGGGCGGCATTTTCCAGGGGGTGGCAAAGAAAGCCGCCCCCCAAATGCCCAGGGCAAATGCCTTGTTAGCCTTGCGGCTAACAGACATGCCGAGCGGGCGGGCGGCGCTGGGCGGGTGGCTGGCGAGGGAGCACTTCCTCTGAGCGGTCTGCTCAGCTCCCTTGCGCGCCGCTGAGTGAGGCTTGGAGCCGCGCAAGGGATCTGAGCAGACTGCTCAGAGGAAGTGCTCCCTCGCCAGCCACCTGCCCAGCACCCAGCAGTCACTGGACCCCCAGGGAGAAAGGGAACCCCTCCCCCAGCATTCCCAAAGGTAAGGAGGCTGGGGGGGGGGGTTAATAAAAATAAATGTGTTAATGTGAGTGTGTCTGTTAGTGAGTGTGTCTGTTAGTGTGTGTGTGTGTCTGTTAGTCTGTTAGTGTGTGTCTGTTAGTGTGTCTGTTAGTGTGGGTGTGTGTGTCTGTTAGTGTGTGTGTGTGTCTGTTAGTGTGTGTGTGAGTGTGTCTGTTAGTGTGTGTGTCTGTTAGTGTGTGTGTGTGAGTGTGTCTGTTAGTGTGTGTGTGTGTGTCTGTTAGTGTGTGTGTGAGTGTCTCTGTTAGTGTGTGTGTCTGTGAGTGAGTGTGTCTGTTAGTGAGTGTGTCTGTTAGTGAGTGTGTCTGTGAATGAGTGTGTCTGTGAATGAGTGTGTCTGTTAGTGTGTGTGTCTGTCAGTGTGTGTGTCTGTTAGTGAGTGTGTGTGTCTGTTAGTGAGTGTGTGTGTCTGTCTGTTAGTGAGTGTGTGTGTGTCTGACTGTTAGTGTGTGTGTGTCTGACTGTTAGTGTGAGTGTGTTTGCCTGTGAGTGTGTGTGTCAGTGAGTGTTTGTGTCTGCTAGTGTGTGTCTGCTAGTGAGTGAGTGTGTCTGCTAGTGACTAAGTGTGTCTGCTAGTGAGTAAGTGTGTTTGTGTGTGTGTGTGTGTCTGCTAGTGAGTGAGTGTGTCTGCTAGTGTGTAAGTGTGTTTGTGTGTGTGTGTGTGTGTCTGACTGTGTGTGTATGTTTGCCTGTGAGTGTGTGTGTCAGTGAGTGTGTGTGTGTCTGCTAGTGTGTGTCTGCTAGTGAGTGTCTGTGTGTGTCAGTGAGTTTGTGTTTCTGTTAGCTAGTGTATGCGTATCTGTCAGTGAGTGAGTGTGTGTGTGTGTATTTAGAAGGCGGGGCGGGGGTAAGGGATGGGTGGGGGCCGCGCGTGCGTGGGAGGGTTTGGGGGGTGCCTGAGTTTTGTCCTGCCTAAGGCAGCACAAAACCAGGATACACCACTGGGTACACTGCTGAGGAGGCTTATGATATACTAACAGCCGACTCTGACGCCACAGACACTGCCTCTGAGAGTGGTGATGAGACTGTGCCAGATACTGCAGGGCCCTCTGTTGTAAGCGCCGAGTCCCCTGACCTGGCTCATGACGCTGGTGACTAGGAACCCCTAAATGATTTCACGTCTGACATCCAAGTGTTTACTGGCAGTCCTGGAATTCAGTTGGACGTCACTAACTACAGTGCACTGGATTTTATGCAGCTATTCTTGGGGGATGATATTTTAGGGGATATAGTCACCCAGACCAACCTTTACTTGACACTTAATGTCAAGGAAGTTGGTACCCCACCAGTGTGCCAGAATTAAAAAAAATTGGGGCACTAACAATGCTTATGGGCATTATTAA